TGGCCAAATGCCATTCTCCTCTTCCTGATTGGTAGATGTCGCCTCCCCTCCCCCTCCCCTAGTAACTCCTCCCATTCTTCTCATGTCTAGAAGGTTAATGTCTGCAGAATTCAGGTTTTCATGCCGTCACTCACAATAAGAAAGTCTCTTCACTGATCACGAGGATATCTCTCACATACCTGCCGCTCCTCGGGATCGGTGCTGTTGGATGCATGAAGGTTGCAGATAACAATAACAAATGGGACAAAACAAAGTCATGTGATCTGCGTGTGTCATGTGATCTGCGTGTGTCATGTGATCTGCGTGTGTCATGTGATCTGCGTGCGTCGTGTGCTCATTACATATGAATGATGTATTTCCTGCCGGTCATACTGAGGAACACGCACATACCTGCTGGGTCATATGTAACCCTGCTCAGCTGGTCATGTGATCCAGACCGCACAGCCAGGTCCCGCACTGCAGCTAAAGAGACCCTGTCACCGGATCGCAGCGCTCGGAGTCAGAGACACAAAAATCATATAAGAGAGAAAACATTCCAAATGGTGACAGGGTCCCTTTAAGGATACAGCCCGGTCCTGAGCTACTTCCCAGCCTCCTGATTGGACAAAAGGAGTGGCACCAATAATTCAATCCCTGTGCTCTCCCCTCCTGTCAGCAAGCTCCCAGTGATAGTGTTTGGCCAAATGCCATTCTCCTCTTCCTGATTGGTAGATGTCGCCTCCCCTCCCCCTCCCCTAGTAACTCCTCCCATTCTTCTCATGTCTAGAAGGTTAATGTCTGCAGAATTCAGGTTTTCATGCCGTCACTCACAATAAGAAAGTCTCTTCACTGATCACGAGGATATCTCTCACATACCTGCCGCTCCTCGGGATCGGTGCTGTTGGATGCATGAAGGTTGCAGATAACAATAACAAATGGGACAAAACAAAGTCATGTGATCTGCGTGTGTCATGTGATCTGCGTGTGTCATGTGATCTGCGTGTGTCATGTGATCTGCGTGCGTCGTGTGCTCATTACATATGAATGATGTATTTCCTGCCGGTCATACTGAGGAACACGCACATACCTGCTGGGTCATATGTAACCCTGCTCAGCTGGTCATGTGATCCAGACCGCACAGCCAGGTCCCGCACTGCAGCTAAAGAGACCCTGTCACCGGATCGCAGCGCTCGGAGTCAGAGACACAAAAATCATATAAGAGAGAAAACATTCCAAATGGTGACAGGGTCCCTTTAAGGATACAGCCCGGTCCTGAGCTACTTCCCAGCCTCCTGATTGGACAAAAGGAGTGGCACCAATAATTCAATCCCTGTGCTCTCCCCTCCTGTCAGCAAGCTCCCAGTGATAGTGTGCAAAGCATTGGGCTCTGATTGGCAGATTCCGGTATTTATGAGGATGAAATATGACTGGGGGCCGGTACATTGATGAGTGGGGGT